CTTATATTTATATTTGAATATTAATACTATTGCTTAATATTAGGAAACAGGATTTAGAGTAATTTTCATCAAATCAGTAAATTTGAATCACAATGCTATATTCAAATTTTATTCTTCTATCCAAAAACATATAAGCTTTTGGGGTTTTTTTTTAATAATTGCCTATAAACCATTTTCAAAGATTATGTCAGATAGGTTTACTTTGTCACAGTTCATCTGAGAATTTAAGATTCCGCATCTTCTAATCCAACCACAGAACACCAAGGTCAACATTTTCCTTTTTGTGCTAAAATTGTTTTCATGAATTAGGTTTGAATCKATGCACAAAACAAATACTTCCCAAGACTGAAAGATTTGACCAGAGGTAAAAGGTGCCTGGGTGAGAGGAAAAATTAAAATACACAAAAAAAATTAAAAAGACAAAAGCTTAATAAATTGAGGTTATTTTTTATTCAAAATGTACATCAATGAAAGCCAACAAAAGAATACGGAATAATTCGTAGTGTTGAAATGGTTCTGAATACAAGAGGAGATGACTGATGCTAGAAAAATGTACGGCAAATCTTGACACCAAAATGTCACTTTACACTCAGAATCACATCCAAACATCATAGGGAATAAACAACAAATCTCCACTTCAATACACAAAATATATCCTTATAAATTATATAAATGCACGAGTATTTTAATACTCTTATCTGGGATTCTGTTCAACAATATCTCATACTAACATTTGGCAAAGTTGGAGCTTAAATCATAGGACAGAGCAAGTTTTACAATAAATAAATGCACCATTTTATAAGAAAATAGCAATGAAAGTAAGACCGAAAAAGCTGAGTTGTTTAAGGAGTAAAAAAAAGGAAGGTAATAGATCACAGCAGTAATCAAATCAAATTTAAAAAGCATGCAGTGTATATTAGGCTGGTGAATATTAAAGCACGTGTAATAAAAGCCCCTGACATATGTGACCTTCATGGTATTTAACAGTGGCGTGTAAACATGGGAACCAAATGCTTTGGCTTTTTCAATCATTTTATTTAGATGAGCACAAAATGAACATAAAAGCCAAATAATTTAATATTGAATTAGATTAATTAAGTTTTCTATCCTCAATTTGTTTTAAAAGTAAACCTTCATTTCTTTTTCCTTTTTGAGTGCATATAAATCTATATATAGTGCAGGTCATGTTAATACAATAAAAAAATGTTTTACCCGTGAGTCCTAAAATTGTATGAACCCCTCCTGAAATCTCTCTCTGTACATTAAGACATAATTGCAGGTTTTGTTGTGTACCTGGTTCCCCACCTGCCCAGGTTTAAGAGCTTCATCAGGTGGTCAGAAATACCATGCAAGTCCACATAAGGCCATACTCAACAAAAGGAGATGCAATGAAGAGAATAAAAGGTTGATACGAGGAAAAAAAATTAAAATAAAAAACAGGCAGAGGTAAAGGGTTCTTAGTTCTTGCTGAAGCTGCAATCCCCTCTTCAGGTGGTCAAAGACAGATTAAAAGAAGCTAAAGAGACAAAGAGAAACAAAGCCAAGAGTTAGAGAAGTGGCCAAACCACCAGAGGTGCAAAAGGGATTCTGAAGAAGGGAAAAGCTTATGTTTTGATCATCATATACAAAACTATTAKAGTAAAATTTCAAAATAAAGTCAAATATATGAGAATATGTCTACTTGAAAAAGTCCCAAACAGTACAATCAAATTGGTGAGAAAAAGAGAAATTAATAACTTTGATGCATATGAACACTTATATATTAAACTAAGTCAATAATTTAACACGTCTTGTGTCGTTTCTGCTAATTAAAGTGGAAAAACGTGTTAGTCACAGCAACATCCAACAGTGCACAGGCAAAAGCAACGAGTGGGAGAAACTGACCGCTCAGGTTGAGGTTAAAGCAGCCGTAAAAACGCACAGATTATAACAGAACAGGTAATGAATGAAAAACCCTGCAGGACGGGATCCACATTTCAGGCCCACAGACCCCACAGAGGCCGATCCCTTWTCAAAGCTTGGGAGAGGGGGGGCTGAGGACCTATTCAGTGCAGAGCCACGGGTTACTGCAAAGGAAAGTGAAACCACACAAGACCAGTGAGCTGTAGACTGGGAGGAGGTCGCATCTCTTCTGCTGCTTTAATTTCACTAAAACTGTGGACTCAGATTTTACAAAACAAACCTGACRTTTAAAGTGGCAAAAAATTAATTTAAAGTAATGCTATTTATCACTGCAGTTCGTTCAGAAATTCATTAAAAATCCACATATTTATAACACTTTTTATCATACACAATGATTGCTGCTCCAGTTTTATCATTTGGTGAAAAATTGGCCTTTATTTTCTTCAGAAAAGGTTTCTWAACACGGATACAAAACAAAGACTGCCTCTGTCAGAACAATGGACATCGGGACTATTTGACTTTTAATGTGCCCTTGTATAAAAATACAAAAAAAAAAGAAAGTTACAATTGCACTGACATTGAAATATACTTAACAAAAACAACATCACATTTGTGTATAAAACAAAGTGCAAGTATAAAAGCTAATATAAGTATGCACATCAAACATGACAATGAATGAGGTATGGGAGAAGTGGCAATAAGATTAGGCTCGCAACTACTCATGCATCAGGCTAAAGGGAAACTACATCAAAAAAGAGACCTATTTTAAATATCTATTCCAACTTTGAGGCAAAGATTCAAATTACATATGCAAGCCTGCAGGAATATAGGATGACAACTATTAAAAAAAGAAAAAGAATTCTAAAAAGGTACTCATCAGTTTTTAAGTCTCAAGATGCATGTTTCTCTTTAGCCTCAACACATTTCTGCCCATTACATCTGTAGTCATGTATTTTTTTAAAAAAGCTCACATCATGCAAAGAAATGCTGAGCACATAAATATGGAATGCATTTTGTAAATTTGCATTTAAAAAAGGAATCAAACTGAATGGCTGCTTGTACAACACAAAACACAACAAGCATCATTCAGGAAGAAAAAAACTTTACGACAATTTTTTTATTTTTATTTTTWTTTTTGCAATGCCCAGCATCACCAAAAAAATGCGGTGGGAGGCAGATATGTGTAGGGTGGAATTAGGTGGAGGTGAGAGAAGGGAGAAGCTATAAAAGATGATGAGTGGGGTAGGAGCTCATTCACAGCAGGATTGCCACAAGGGAGGACTTTTTTTTCTACAGGAATCCTCAGCTGGAAATAAAAGAGAAGGGCTGTTAGTGGTTTCTGATTTGTTAAAACACACAGTTGTACATCAGCATTAGCACCTTAGACAGCAAACATGCTTTTAAGGTCGTATTATAGTGAGGGTGAGAGTACAKTCGACTACTTCTTTTAGTTTTCAAACAGCCTGTCATCTTTCTCATCATACAGCGTCTTATTTTTTTAAGCAACACTGAAATAAGTTTACAGAGCGCCAGTCTGTTATTTTCATTCACTTCTACTCCCCCAAGTGGCCAAGACTCGAACACCATTTGTTCTTTTGTAGGGTGGGTCATCATATGTCAACAAAACATACCAGCTCTAAAAAACAAAGATGCGCCCAGAGGCTGTTTGCAGTTCTGGCGTGACCTGCTGGTCTCAGCTCAGCCTTGAATGGTTCTTTGTGTGACGGTTGGGCCAGGTGGGAGCCACAAAAAAAGAGAGTGTTGTGGTTTTAGGGAGGCTGATGGAGCAGTGCATCAAATGGGCGTGTGGGGGTCTAATAAACTGGTTGATTTAGAAGCTGGCGGGGCAACGATAAATACTGCCAAGCTCCCAGATATGGAGGGAAAAGATGATGCCATGAAGTAGYGCACGTTTGCCAAGCTTTTTAGGTAACTATCCTGCAGACCACTGGCAAAATACAACTGCAAACCTTTAGAAGTAGTCATCTTCAAACATGGAGTTAGCTTGTGTACAATTTGAATTTATACTGGCATTTCACTTTGAATTATTATTTCTTTTTATTATTTGTGCTGTAACTCAAAAAGGGAGTCTTACCAGAAAAAGGTGCCTCATGCAGCATGCAGCAAGTGTGGGGAGGAGTTAACTGGAAAACATTACGGATGCAACATAGGTGACACATGCGCTTAGAAAACATCCACATAACAAGCAGAAACAATTAACTGTGTCTCCTGGGGAGTAATAACAATCACCAGAAGGTTAAAAACAAAAACACACACACAGTTAGCATCTAGTTAGCACGTCAAGAGAAGGACCTCACTTGTCTGTTGACTGAACAGCTGCTAATTTGGGGAGAGAAATATTCAAGGCAAYGATCATAAGGAGGAAAAAGTGGTTGTGAGGGAAATAAAAGTAGAAGAAAAAKTTACAGCTAACAGAAAGCCTCTCAGTGCAAATGTCTACTTTCTTTTCTGAACAGGCACATCTGGTTTATATCAGTTTATGAGCAAAAAAATGTCAACATCTTACAGTGGTAAAAATTTAGTTTGCTTAACGGGGACATATCCTGCTTTTAAATCCTTTTTTACATTAAAATCATTCAGGTGGGGTCTATATAAAGTGTAACTGCAAAGCTTTGGTCTAAATTCCTCCTTATTGTATCTCAAGCCCCTCTTTCACCYATTTTCTGAGGTGTGTCTCAGATCAACTCGTTTTGACACTGTCTCTTTAAATCCAAACGAGGCACTTCTCAYCCCGCCCCCTCCAGTGTCCAGAGTGGTCCACTCTAGTTTGATACAGGGGTTTATGACTATATGGCAGCATTTTATTTACAAATTAAGTAAAAGAAGCCAACAAAGGAAGATTGTTGGACATGTTGGAGCCAGAGTCTGACCCAGAGCCAGAGGAGAATGAAGACCACCAAATTGTAGCTTTTAAGTCTAGACCTTATTTGGCAGTTCTGTCACAAATACTGTGACATAATAGTTCAGAAAACCTCTTAGAAAATAGAGTAAAATATGACCCAAAAATAATATAAAGATATCTACTCAGCATTAGGGGAGACTAAATTCAAATTTTCTGCACCCCTTGAGACTCCAAGTACACAACAAAATGTATGTAAGGATTAAAAGAATGGATTTTGCATGAAATGTCCCCTTTTAAACCAGTTTCATTTGAATTATCAGAAATTTAAAAAAAAATTAGAATGTGAACATATTGATCATAAAGGCTGCTAAATAACTGACTGGAAGAAGAAGCTGCATGTTTTTGATAATGAAGCTGAAATAGTAAAGTGCACCAAAGTCACATTCAAAGTTTCCAATATAGTGTTGAGTGAGCAGCGATATTTGCTGACAGCATGAAGATTTTTGACTGGAAGTCGCTCTGCTAACAGCTGGCTACGTTCCAACTGCAGCTCCGTCTCCACCTGTCAGCTTTTATTTCAACACATATATAAATTTTAATCCAAAACGACCAACATGGAGCTTAGTGTCCACTACAATCTCTTTGATCACACAGAGGGGAGTAGATGAAGCATTCAGCTTTCACTCAGAAATAAAGAGTTGGCACAGAATAATTTCCTGGACCAGTTGTGTCAGACTCAGTGGGGGTGGGTGTGGGGGGATACTTACTTTTTCCTCTCTTTGTCCCTCTTCAGCGTGGTGGCGCCCCCTGCCTGCTGGGCTTGGTTCAGCAAAAGTTCAGCTGCAGTCTTTTTCTGTTTGAATGTGTTGACCTCGTCATCTAGACCCTTCTTCTTCTCCTCCAGTTTCTTCTTCTCATCCTGGTGGAGCTTCTTCAAACGGTCAAACTTATCGTGCAGCTAGGTCGCGGGGTTGGGGGGGGGGGGACGACAGAAACAGAACTTTGGTGCTGACCGGGAGAGGAGAGGAGACATGATTTTAACAACGCGACTGATATTTACCTCCTTCTCCGCTTCTTTGAGCTCGGCCTCCTTCTCTTTGACCCGCTGGACGAACATTTGTCTCATTTCCTCTTCCTTCTTCTGCAGCTCACCCATGAACTCGTTCCGCTTTGCCTCATATGTCTCTTGCAGACTGGCCGCAAAAAAAAAAAAAAAAAAAAGGAGAGGAAAAAAATAGAAAATTATAATGATGCGAGCGGAAAGCAACAGATCCAGGAGACATGAAACCATTTCGAGTCTTCTACCTGAAGGGTTTGCTGTCAGGGTCTGTATCCTTAAAGCCCATTTCTTCCAGCTTGCAGCGGCGGTAGAGCTCATAGTGGCGTGTGTGAGTCTGTTCTCGCAGGTCCTCCATGTTCACTCGAATCAGCATCTCACGAAGTTTGACAAAATCACAGTGATTTTCATTTTCCACTGTGAGAAAACGAAGAACGCCAGTCAGCATCTTATCAAACATAAACTCATATTATTGCAGTTTAATGCCAAAATGCTGAATGTTCATGCAAACTTCAAGAGTAAAATTAAAGATCATTTTATTCAAACATATTTAATACAAAGCATGTATAAGTTATGGTTAAATATGTGTGATGTTTCTCTATTCAATGTGATCCTGAACAAAACACAATGCAGGGAAGGACATTCCTCTAAGGGAAAATAAAAGAAGACAACCAAAAAAACAGACAAAGAGGTTCAYAGTATTATTTAAAGACCAACAGTGCTGGCTAAGCTCTGTGTGTTCTTTATCTGGCCTCTGTGGTTTAATTAAAACAGCTGCATCATTGTGTGGTGAAAGCACTGGTAAACATTTAGCTCTGATAAAGAAAATTGCAAGAAAGACTTCAAAAATCTCAAGATGGGTCTTGCTCACAGACTTATACTCTTGCGAAACAAAAATAATGTAGTTATGTATGTATTTATATATAAAAATCAGAATTATGCCTGGAAAAATGCCAATTACGAGTGTTTTTCTGATTTTATTCATGTCTCACCAAGATGTTAAAAGTGGAGTGTGACTTTATTACATTACAAGAGTCTGTGCAAACATTTACATGTTTTTTATTCTTTTAATTTCTTTGCTGGTATTCTTTTCTTCCCCAACATATTTTAGCTTGTCTCAAGTTTTGAATGAATGTGAGAAGAGTACGTTGAATCAAACAATAACTTCTGTATTTTTACATATCTCCGGTAATCCTTGTGAAAAAAAAAGTTGGCCCTGTAGCCTGTTTGGAAGACATTCAACACCCTGCATTTTAAAGTCGTCAAGAAAAATCAATACCTGATCAATAAAAACACCATTAGTGAAATAAAAAAAATGTAAGCACAAAGAGCTGCTGGAGGATGCTGCAGCTAGACGAGGTCACATAACAGGTTATCAGTTCAGTTAGAAAGAGCTGAAGRGAAGCACAAAGGAAGTGCATGCTTTTAATTCCTGTCCAGGATGTAACACAGGCTTACCCTGCACCGTCCCCCAGGGGTACTGCCGGGCCTTCACCATCTTATTCCCAAGCTTCACTTCCTCAGTGCTCCCCACCACAGCGAAGGGCAAATGGCTCTGTGAAGCAGAAGGGAGCGTGCTGTAAGCGTACTGTCACACCTGCAACTAAATCTGCAGAATTCTCTTCATTTCTGCAACGACACATAAAGCTGACCGACACTAAGAACAGATAAATACGTCCAAAAAACATATCTGTATTAMGATAACTTGTCAAAGTCTGAACAAGAAAAGAGCTAACAGTCACAGAATGTTAGTTAAAGACATTTCTACAGTTTAGGGTTAATAAACRACTAAATGTGGACACAAAGCTTGTTCCCACACTGCTGACTTCCTGTGTCAGACGACTGTGTGTGCGGCTTTGAAAACACACACACACACACGCACACTGCAGGAGGCCTGCAGACCACGTAAGCAAAGGCAACAGTGCCTGTTCTGACTCACAATGACATATTTTACAYAGATCAAATAAGGAAATAAATTGATATGTGCAGCTTTTCACTAAAACAAATAAATCCAAACATTGTATGCAGCGGGTATAAATGTGGCCTTACATTCATGGTGGAGTTAATTTCTGCCACAGACTCGTCATCAGTGGGGAACTGGTAGATCTGGACTCCGTTGCTGACAAGCTCACTGGTGATTTTGATTTTGAACTTGGCCAGTTCGCTCTTAGAAATGGCGTCTGACTTGGCAACGATTGGGATGATGTTGACCTGAAAATGAGAAATGAGAAAACCTTTTTAGGAACACAGCTAAAGATAGACTGAATTAAAGCGTTCTTTCAAAAAGGCACTGCCTTCATTTCTGTAGTCTAAATTTAGAGAAGACCAGACATGTTTGTTTGATAGAAACACTAAAAAGAGTAAAAACATGTCACTAATGGAAACTTTGAAGCTATTACTAAAAGTAAAAACACATGGGTTTAACTAAAATAACTATTTTTCATAGTTCTTCCTACCGCTGCCTGTCCAAAAGTGTAGGATACTAAAATTAAACTTTCACAAAGACGTGGTACACAATAAACCATTCTATTTTCATCATTTCAACATAATTTAATAGATATCTTTAGGAATAAGATGACWGCAAAATAGATTCTTAAGCATTGCTGACTTGTACATATTTAGTAGCGATAAAAACAGTAAAATGCAGCAAAGAAAATATATTTTTCAAACCATTTAGAAATTTATCAAACACAATGTTGAAGTCTGTCTTTTTTGTCAAAACCCATGCTTTAATTAAACATTGTCATATGCAAATAGGGAAGTGAGAAATGAACAAGAAAGGACATTCTTTAGTGTGCCTTTTTATCTGGTTTTAGGAAAATGTGAATTTCACTCCCACACAACATTTTTTCACTCTCCCCAACTATTTATTCACTAAATGTGGACCCCTTGTAATTAATCACAATGGATGCTCTGGGTCACACGAACGAAGACATCAACACATTTATAAGTCTGCTGAGGGTTCAACTTCCTGCTCAAATATCCTTCAGCAGAGCAATGATTTAACGCCTCCCTGGCTAAATGTTTAAAGAGAGAGAGAAAGAGAGAGCTGCTCTTGGATCACATGGTTGTGAGAGCTGGCTGGAGGGCACAGCTGCTCTGGCAAACACCACAAACATGCCTTTTTGTGCAAACAGCAAAGAGTTTCATGCAAATAGGCTGAGAAGAGCTCACAGGACGCAGTCACTGGACAGACTGCATTTCACAGCTGACCTACACTGATGCACCAACAGAACCAGAACCAACGTGCATGAAAGAAAATGACCCAGAAAAGATGTGCAACTCGTGACTTCAGTAGRCAGATCAAATGCATCCATGTAGTGTCAACAACAAAGCTACATTAGACATCTGGGATATAAAAGCTAATCCGTTCAACTACTTTCACTCAGATAAAAAAAAAAAAACCACAGGTAAGTTTGACCAAACTGAGCAACGCTCACCTTGCTATCCAGTTTTTTCATCGTCACCAAGTCCAGAGACTTCAGCGAGTGTCCTGTTGGAGCAATGAAGTACAAGCATGCGTGGATGCGAGTGTCGTGGTAGCTGTGTAGCGTGCGCTTGATTTTCAACTCCTCCTGCAGGTAAGCTTCAAACTGGGTATCGATGAACTCCACAATGGATTTGTAGCTGGACAACAGAAGAGATGAAACAATTTAGCCTCATTTGTAAGTTCAGTTCTTTCAGAATTTACAACATGTACTGATACTAAACAGTACAATTGCTATTTAGAATTACAACCTAAAWTACAGTATTAGCCATACTTTAATAACAGAAAAATGTTCAACATCAACTAACTGTTAAAGCCCTCTCTTAAAAATGAGAAGCAAGGCTTTTTATGTGTTGTTAGGAACACCACAGTAATTTTGCTTTATTGTGATTCTTTCATTCACTATTAATGTTATAACTAATATAAAATGTATTTTAATATTTTTTGATTTATGGCAAATACAAAAYGTGCCATTTTTTTACCACTCATCAAAATAAACACCTTTACAAAAATTCCAATAATTCACCGTCCAATCACAGTCTGCAACCTCAAACTGCGATATGTGCTACAAAATGTGAACACGGGAGAACAATAACCTTAAGAACTACAGGAAGATTCAAAAGGCATCCACCCTTTCCAGAACACAAACACACAGCATGTGGTCATAATGTAAGATGCTGCCTGCAGAAGTTCACATGACTATAAAAGCACTCTTGTATAAAAACTGATTTTTTTTCTCAAAGTTACCATTTGAACAGCTTTGAAGTAACTAACAGAGTTGTAGTTCGCAGGAAATCGTCCACTCACACAGGGGTCGAGTTAGCAACTAACAGTCGAAACAAAAGTCTGGTAACAAAATCTTTGGGTGTGCGCAGAAAGACCTTCGGGCTGCGACATCCTTCTGGTCCCAGGTTGGAAACCACCTATATCTAATGTCTGTTTGTACAGCTGGTAGTTTGAAACTATTGAGGAAAAACTGCTTCAGATAAAAACTTGATTCCTCATCCACAAAGTACTGCATTCAAAACAGAGCAGTTTTATTAGAAACCTGTCTGCTAGTGTCAAAAATGGCCTTTTTTTTACCTGTCCTCCTTATTAATCTGGTCTCCAAAGCCCACTGTGTTGACGACAGTCAGTTTGAGGCGTACGTTACTCTCCTGCAGCTCGTAGGTGTTGGACTTCAGTGTGACTCCAGGCTGGCTGTGCTGGGTGGGCTCACCTTCAAACTTGGTGTTGAACAGTGTGTCCATCAGAGTGGACTTACCAAGACCTGTCTCGCCTACACAATGGGGAGAAAAATGCATTTTGTTACTGAGCTCTTGGCTTACACAGTCACAGAATTTTAATTTCAACACAGAAGAAACGATTCTTAATACACCCTCCTGGCTTCTACACTAAAACAAATGTTATAATGTATTAAAAAACAGTAGATTCAGCTTCATTGTGATGTATTCTGACATGTATTCTGTTAGGGGCTATTAGATGACTCAGATGTAGAGCTCCCTCTGTAAGAAAATCTATTTTTATTCTCCACAGCGTGACCCACTGTCTTTGCTAGCTGGTTTTCATGAGAAATCTTTCTGTGCACTGGATTTTTCTCCTTGATTTAAAAAATCCAATAAATAGACACATTAAGGGTTAATGCTGTTTATTTATGAGAAATGCAAAGTTCACTTTTTTTTATTTATRGTTCCAAGAGGCATTATCAGATACCAGAACCACCTCAACTCAAACACTCACCAACACAGAGGATGTTGAAGCAGAAGCCACGGTTCACAGACTTGTTGACCAACTGGTCAGGCATACTGTCAAAGCCAACATGGCCGGCCAGAGGCACAGAACGGACTCCTTCACCCTAAAAGCAAAAYAATTGACCACAATGCATCAATAAAATATTCACTTTTCATTGAAAAATCTCAGTAAAGCACTACGCGCCTATAGTTGAGAGCATGCTATGAACGTTATTTTAAAAATATAAATTTCATTTCTTTGTTCTCTGCAGATCTTATTGCCAAGTAATTCAACATCCGTGACTGTGAGAGACATGAGGCTGACTTCAGGTGCAGTCTAATTCACTTCCTGTTTTCTATGCAGCAGCTCTCTTCCGTCTGCTTAGACAGTTTGAAACCACAGTGTACATATATGGAAAAATAAAGCTGTTCCCGTCATGATTACTGAAASAGCAACAATAAAACTATTTTTGATTAAATTAGTTACAAATATGAGACGAAGAGTGAACTGTCCACAGCATGGGCTGAAATCTGTCTCTATAATTTGAACTTCTCATTTTGGATCGACATTTCCTTCATTGATTCTACTGCTACAGTAAAAGCAAGTGCACCATTGTTGAGCGTGTGTGGAGGTGTACAGCTTGTAGTAAGCATCTTGATCTGTGTGATCCTTGTTTCTGCTGCCTACATTTATATTAAGAGCTGCAGGGAAGCAAAGAATGCACATCAGAKGCCAGAAGYAAAAAGCTCTCCACCRGCTAAACCTCAGACAAAGCTGGCCATTATGTGGCTTAAACATAACACAGTGTAGCTGTCCAATGTGGTGAAGACTTTGAGGGGGGAAAATACGCGKAGGGTAAATTTAAAACAACCAAGCAAGCTGGTGTTKCAGGACAGTTGGGGATTATTTAGATGGTTGAAACAGAGTRTGAACAGCTGGAAAGCTTGTGTGTGTAAAACCGAGGGCAATGTGTCCCAACAAACAGCCTTTATAATGTTCAGCTGCGAGTACAACATTCCTAAAATCATCCTCTCTGTTCATGGGACTCAAAGCCAAGTAGCACACAGCCGGTTCTATTCATTGGGYCACAAAGGGATATCAAACTGCACAACCTTGCTATTCCAAGCACTCCCTCTGGGTTAAGTGGCTTCTTTTTTTCTACTTTAAAAAGCGAGCAAGACAAACAAGTGCTTTTCTATAGCCATSGTGTGGAATCCGTATTGTCCACTTTTTTTTTACGTAATTAAGACAACGCCCGTGTGAAAGTTAACGGGACACCATAACGGAAATGAGGAGTAGAATGAATGGCCTACCGATTTGTAGGTTCGTCGCCCAGTTACGATACATAATTTACTACATTGAATTCAACGCAATGAAAGACGCCATTTTTTTTCGTTTGCAGTTTTATTTAAGCTAACGGTTTTAGCACAGTGCGGGGAATCAAAGGCGCCGCATTATTCCTCGCAAAATATAATTATCTGGAACATTAATGGGTTAAGCTACGACTGTATTTCATTCATTTAAAGTCGTCTACCCAATAACTCTGACGTTCACGATCTGATTTATCAAAGCGAAAATGTAATAAATGTAATGGTGTGCTACAGCGAATATTATGGAAATGGCGAGAGAAAGACGGGCGTTAGCAACAGAGCTAAAGCTACCACCCCCGTTCTTTTTACATATACTTGTATAAGTATTTTGTTGGAAATTATTAATACATGATAAGAACATCCTGGAGTTCAACAGGCTACTTACAGCTTGCCTTGCTATTTCAGTTGACGCCATGGTGCGTGCCGTTAGCCGGAGGAAAAACCCTCTACCGCTCTGACTTTAGCAAAGGAAGCTGCACCGTCTACAGAAAGCTAGGAACGTACCATTTCATCGAGACATGTCGCGCACGATACATAAATTATAACTAAAACATTTATAATAATATCAATAAAAAGACTAAAAAATATCACTTATATCACATGAAACATCTACTGAATGTTGGAGGAAGTTTTTAAAAGACGATAAAGTGAACACCCCCCCCAACACATTACCATAATGGTTCCGTCTCCAATGAATGGTAGTAGTAAAYGTTACAAAACGCAGATACCTGGACTTTAATTAAATTAAGACCAGTCTGACATTTGCAAACAAACTTTGTCGATATTAATTTAATAACTGACAAATTCGTAATCGATGTGTAACTAAAAACCTAGTGAATAAACAAGTTACAAAGCAGTTTTCATTAGAGCGTATGATTGAGTAGAACACCACGCCCACTTTGGTCACGTGCGGTCTACTGGCCAATAGAAAGCAGACAGTGAATTTAAAGCGGAGTCGCGGCARTTGCTAGCGAGTCACATATCAAAACAACTGTAAGGACAGCGATAACCTGAGAGGTTCTACAGCGTTTCACACGATTTATAGAGGTAAGGTACTTCAGAGGAAACGATTTTTGAAAGTTAATGTTGTCTTTTCTAAGCCATTCTAGCTAACTAATAGTTTTAATCTCAAAGACTGCCCTCGAGTTCATGACGCAGCTAGCAAAAAGCTAACCAGAGATCTACAAACAACAACAACAGAACAATGCGTGTTGTTTTAACAAGTTGGCAGTTAGATTGACGGGTAACTGCGGTATTTTATTAGGCCAAATCCACTTGTTTAAATTTAACGTTTTAAATATGACGGGAAAACAAATCAACATTAAGATGCCTAGTCTAAGGTAATGTTTTTATGTGCATATGCTTTTCGAGTTAAAATAGCTTTTGTAAAGCACTCAAAACTACCTAAAAAAGTTATTTTGGTTAAATTATAGCAGGCAACTACTAAACATTTTTGTAGATTGTTACAATAKTTTTTTTAAAATAACTTTCACACAGATGACTAGGCTTGTAAATTATATAAAATTAACTACTGAGAAGTCCTTCATCTACTACCTCTGCTCTAGTTATGGCTCTGTTTGCGTCAATGCAGTAATAATYACTGTTTTTCAGATATAATGGCAAACCCAATATTTGCCGAGCAAGAAAATGTTTTTCTTGCACCTCCAAAGATGCGAGAGAGACTTCAMTCTGCTCCAGGTGTGAAATTACCTACTTGATGCTGAATTACTTTTTAGAAAGGTTTGTGCGGAAATGTTACAATATTTTTGTTTTTCCACCAGAGAAACCCTTGAAGTCTGAGCCTACAAAAACTCTTACAACCCCTCTGCAATCAAACCGCAAAGCTTTTGGATTGGTGAACAAAAAGATTTCCACCCCGGCTGTCGCTGCACAAGAGAAGAAACTTCTAAAGCCACAGGTGGAGTAAACAAACAGAACAGGACCACCATCTATGTATATTAGATGTTTCTCTGATCAAACACACCTGGTGTGAATGAGGGGTCATTAACAGGCTCCTGYAGGACTTGAAGAGGTARTTTAATCACTGATTCAGSTGTACTGGAGCAGAGAAGCATTTAAAACAYGAATGGAGGACCAGGATTGAACRTCCAGTATAAGTTCTAATCCATAAATTATACAAAAATGTTTTAAATCCAGCATCTTTCATTTTTTTCATCCAAAAATGAAATGCTGTGTTTAGAGTTTTTCATTTTCTGTGTGCACTTTATCTGAAATWGTTSAAACCAAGCTAATGTCTTTGTCAAYAGGAAACAAAGGYCAAASTTGCTCCTCAGACCAAAACAGAGGAATATCCTGATATTGAGCAGTTTATCCCTTACGACCCATTAGGTAAATATATATTGCAACTGAAGTATTTAAGACTTGTTCAAAATTTATTACATTTCTCTGCTGTGCTCATTTTACAAYGTATGTAAAAATGTGAATGAAATTATGATCATCTGTTCATTATAATTTTAAAAAAATTTAATCTTTCAGAGTTTGAGAAGTACAGTTTTCCAGAGGACTTGATTCCTCTTAGTGGCTTGGCTCTTCCTGGACTGGCCTGTTTTCCACAAACTCTTCCTGATCCATGTGAGGACGACCTCAAAATCTCTCCCCTCCCAAACCCATCGCCTGTAAAGATGCCAAAACGTTCAGGTATGCAGATCCTATCAGGGCTTTGAAGCAGAAGGGTGATAACTGAGTCTCTTGTAAGCACATTCTCTTTCACAGCTTTAACATTTTAACATTGCACTGCAGATGCTTAGAACTGGTAAACCAACACATCTAAAATGTGTTGTAGTTGAGTTAAATGATTGCTCAGTTTCTTTTAACTGTAGACTGTTTTWAAAACACAAAATTGTACACATTCAGTCCCCCTTGTTCCTGATTCATTTCATTAAAGAAACAAAGTATATCAAACACTGAATAAAAAGGGTGCAGAAAGAAGAAAAATCTCATGTAGGAAAGTTTTATGTATGTATGTCAAATTCAATGATGACTTAAGTTGAAACCAAGTTTGTATTTTCTCAAATTCTGCCTGTATCACCTCTAACATCTGTTCAAAAWCTGATGTGTCCTCAGCAAATGGAATACATTTTAAAAGCTTTGACACATTGACCGAATCACTCACATTCAAAATAAACAGTTTGGGTCCAGGCAAATAACCTTGARGAACTCCACGAATATTACACTATTCAGATCTTATTCAAATGACTAAATATACTGTAGTGCTAATCAGTTTTATTTATTAAACTTTTCAAAAAAGAAGGCTATAGTCAAGTGTCAAAAGACTTCTTTAAATTAACAATGCTAACAGTCTGATGCCTTCTAACAGAATAAATGGGCCATCTGGTTGTTTATAACAATCTGTTGTATAGTGTTAAGTATTTACTTGTAATTCAGTTTCAGAAGTGTTTAATTTTTTAATGTTCTCTTCATACCTCATGGGCAGTAAAGGTGAATGTATGGAAGCATATTTGCAACAGTTCACAACCCTACAGTTCAGTGAGTTCAGACAGATTCTGTCTGAACAGGGAACAAACATCACTTATTGTGTTTGGAAAGTAAACCGTTAGGCTGGTATGTGATCTAGGACTTAGTTAAAAGCCAGTTTGTAGTCCTTTTGTAATGAAACACTTGTGCAGCATGTAATTCAAGCTTTTCAGCCTGAAGTACAACTCTAAACCTTCATTATCTCCACTCTTTTTCAGATGACCGCTTGGAGCTGGAAGCCTTCCTTCAAACTCTYGATGAGCTGACCATCGAGCTTCCTCCAGAATCTCCTGACTTTTAATGACTTGTTTTGTTTATTGTTGTGTTTGAGTGAAATAAAGTTTACTGTTCTTATTCTGCCTTGCACTATGATTGACACACTGGGAGAATCAGGGGAGTGAACTCTTATTACTTCCTGCTTTCAAAGTCCATCAGTGGTCACATGTGAGGGGGTTCTGGTTTCGTCTGAATGAACTTCGACTCAGTTCCTCTTACAAAGGAAAGTATAACCCTATTTTGTATTTAAGCATTTTGCATGGATTATACTGAGGTTCTTGTGCGTTTTGGTCACAGCAGGTGAGTAAACTTTGGAGTGGTTGGGAAATCTGAAGCTCTTGGAGCACAAACATAAAAACATGTTTTTAAAGATGTTCAGTTTTATAAAAGTGCAGCATCATCATGTTKTCTTTTAACACAGGAAATGAGAGCAGCCGAATGGATAACAGCTAATTCAAGTTTCTAAACGGAGACGTCCTCRGGGTGTTGTCTAAACAGAAAGTAGGCTTGGACTCTGCAGAGGAGCATGAACAGGGGCGGATCGGACTTTCCTGGATCCGAACCAGCTGCCCACGGCGGGTCATCCAGACAGAGCTCCGTTGTGGAGCGGCTGTCCCGGTATGGCCTGCCGCTCGCAGCCGGAGCCTCCCAGCGCAGGTCGCGGCTGCAGAGGCAGCAGGAAGCCGGCGACAGCTCCGCTCCGGAGAGGGCATCKGTCACGCGCAAAAAATACCTGAAGGAGCTGCTGCTGAGTCAGTCCTCTCGCAGCGGGTTCAGTTTTTACTCMGAGTCCTCCCCGCAGACCCAGAGTTCAACATCCGAGTCTGAGCAGGACGCGGACTGGGCTCTGTACCCCATGGAGCACGCCTGGATGCTGTCGGCCGTGGAGGGCAACTACGAAACCATCCTGGAGTTCATCTCCGAGGAGCCCTACCTGCTGACCAGGAAGGACTTCATCAGCGGGTACTCGGTCCTGCACTGGCTGTCCAAGCGGGGACAGGACGAGACTCTGCTGAAGCTCCTGCGGTTCGCGGAGAGCGCGGGTCTCCCGGTGAACGTGAACCTGCGGGGCAGCGGGGGGCTYACGCCGCTGCACGTCGCCAGCATGCACGGTCAGTTCCCGGTGGTCAAGCTGCTGGTCGGAGCCTTCGGCGCYGACGTGGACGTTATGGATTACAGCGGGAGGAGGGCCTGGCAGTACCTGAAGGAGGACGCGCCGGTGGCCATGAAGGAGCTGCTGGGGACGTGGGACGACGAGCACAGCCGCGGATGTGCGCAGAACGAGAACGCGAACAATAACTGYACTGGCGCGGTCAGCCCGAGCGCTGCCGAGGAGCCGAGCCGAGAGCCCGAAGAACCGAATCACCTGGACCGGATCAGGAGGGGCGGCTGGAGATTTGGGTCTTTCAAAAAGCTGATAACCTCTTTTTCATCTCATGGATCCAAAACCTGAGTTTACAAACTTTTGTTTAACTTGTGTCAATGTGAAATATCAAACATTTAATCTCAAAGGGATATAATAATCTTTATCACTGAACTTTACAGCAGGATTTTGCGGATAAACTTGAAAATTCCAAACCCTTGTTTTATGAAACTTTTTTGTCAAGATATTCAACACAAATTTCTCTAATCTAAGCACTAACCATTTGTTTTACTTGCTTWAAGTGCTGTACAGTCCAACACTGAAATAAAACCTGTTTGAAAAACAAACCTTTTTTCCAACATCAGTGCTTTCTGCAGAGCTATGTCATCAATTCATACTTGTTTGCATCACAGAACACTAACATGAGTTTGTCAGGAAAGACACGATTACCATCTGTTCTGTTTGATCACTGATCTTTTATTGTCAAACACGAGCATAAACCAGAGGAACTGTACAAAACGACTGCTGCTCCAGATGACTTGGATCCCTGGCTGTGGTCAGGCCCCAGCAGCTGGAGGTCCTGACAGATGTCGGGGTGGAGGAATTCTGGGACCCAAAGACCATCGTGTTTACAGGCCGAGCTTGGTCCTCCTCCAGTGTCTCCTCTTGGAGTTGTACCTGTAACCAAACAAAAACATACTTTAAAACAGGAACTCTTTGACTCTTCATATCTTCATAAGCAGCTTTTCTAGTGTTTATACAGGTGTTGTACTCAAATGGGACAAGAGAAAACCAGTTTAACATTATTTAGAGATCACTTATTCTAGCTAATTCTATAATTTAGGAAAATTACAGTATTTTTCATAATTTATGATCAACYAGAGACAGCATGAACTGGTCTTGAGTGTCATTTTACAGAAATATTTCATGAAAGAATCAGAGCAGTTCTGAAGCAAAAACTGATAAATGTGACTGAAACAGTTTTAAATATCTGACACTAAAACATTGCAAGAATCWCTAGAACAGTTTCTATGCTCACAAGCAGACCGCTGCAGGGATTTTATCCACAGATTGAAGCAAAAACAGTCAAATGAGCAGAGGTGTTCAGCTGCAGAGCTTCCTCGTCACCAGCAGTGAGGAGGATGAAAAGCTCTACAACAGACGTACTCTCAGCAGGGTTAATGACAGCACTCTACTGAYATGGAGAGCTGCATTTGCAGACCTGCTTTACACGATGCAATAATCAGCAAAATAACTCTGAACTCAGCAATAAAACAGATCATTTTAACACTGAAAAGAACAACTCTGAAGAGGCTCTTTAATGATATGCTTATGCCTGCTTTTGTTTTTTAAATTCTATGAAGCATTTTAGTAAATTTTGCTGAGCTTTAAAACATAAAATTAGGAGTTAGTTTTGTTTTAAAGACTCCAGTACTGCAGTCCAAAAACCCCTGCTCTGAAAATTTTATTTTAGCTATTCAACAATGAACCCTATATTTATTTGGATATGAAAAATCACCACAAAAAAAGACAAGCACCATTTATGACTCAGGAATATAACTCATATACCAGAAAAACTAACATACTGAGATTTTGTGATCATTACTAGTCCAGAATAAAGTTTCAGTAAAGTTTTAAGATTACTGCTTGATGTAACATTCATCTTAAGAAAAGCAATTTGAGCTGTAAAATAAATAAATATTCATCACAACCTTCAGAATCATTCCACGCACGACCATCAGCAAACTCAGATTTTTTTCCCAACATTAAGGATTATGAACACAGACTATGAATGAACCTTCAGGGTGAATACAGACAAATCTCTGGGATTTGAAATATTTGCGACCTGTGGTAGCAAAAATGAGTCCAAACGGACACAGGCTGCAGAGCAAAAACACAAGGATACAGCCAAAACAATAGCGGATATTTCAACAATACTTCTGAAAATTGTGTCATCTTGTTCAGGAAATAACAGACAGCAGCAAACAGCAGAACTGAAAGATTGAAGCTAATCTTCTGGCTGGAGGGAAAGAGATGGATGATTTGAACATACAGTATTTTGACCCGTATTTTACAGAATATACTTTATCTTAAAACCTTTGTCAGACCAACTCCACTTCCTATAAGGGGGTTAATTGTCTTGTACATTTGCTTTAAATAGGTGCTAATCACAGGTATTTTTTTATTGGACTTGTTTAGAAAGTGTAGTTTATTTTTAGGCGTACTCCTGCTTCTCTCTGCCCATTAAACAGATAATCATAGTTTGCCAACATGCAGGAACAGTCAACAGGACCTTGCCTGATCTGTTCCACTCATCGCTGATTGGTTAATTAATGTTGGCAGGATTTTTTTTTTTTACTCCTTCCTCTACTTTTATCTGTTAAAGGTCAWGCTTTAATTTGACGACAGGTGTGTGAATGCACAAGTGTAGCCAGATCTAAATGGAACAAAAGTTTTTTCTTGAAACAACTTCGCCTGGAAGACTGAATAAACCAATCATAGTGCCTCTGTTTATTGTGAGACTGAAGGGGCTATTTGGGTTTGTTTTCAAGCCCTAGTTGGTTGGTTGTGGAGAAGTGTTGAACATAAACCAAACCAACATGTAATGTGAACAGACTGTCCACAACAAAAACACCATCAATAATAAAACAGAKTTGTCTAACATGAAAAGCATCAATATGACATGCTTTAAAATCTTAATGAGACTGTGAGACTTATAAATTCAAAAGGCTTTAGAGAAAATAGAAAAAAAGTCAACGGCATCAGATCCATGAGCAGGAAACTCACCTGATCTTGTTGCCGGTCTTCATTCTGATCCACTGAGGAATCGGCCTGTTCTGTTTCTGCTTCTTGGCGAGAACGCGCTTGATCCTGAAAGTCTTGTGGGAAGACTGAAAACACCAGAAAGCCGAGTCAGCAACAGGTTTTCGTCTAAAACTGTGTATCCAGTTCTGTATTTACAGCACGTTTGATCTACGAGGAACGTTAGCTATAAGCTAACACGGCTAGCATGATATCTGACTGTATTTACCAACTTTAACGTCAACATCTCGTACAACATATGGATGTTTTATGCATCAATACAATGTTTTTTTCATCATTTAGCGTTTTACTGGTGGTTTACAGGTCCTACTGGAAAGGATGTTTAAGGATTTAACATTTACCATTTTCTCCACAGTCCTTTCCCCACTATGGCRGTGAGGGTCGAAGAGAAAGAAGGAAGTGACGTCAGCGATTTTATTCAACGAGCCGCTGAAGCTGCGACACCAAGCGGTCAGTGCACGAACTGCACAGATGTTGAAGAAATCGAATTTCAGAAACTTTTGGAAAGATATTGGGTTAATTTCTATTTGAATAACTTTTGGACCCAATTTCATGCAATTAGTTTTTTAAATATAGTGCCACTTAACAAAAAAAAAATGATCTCACGACACTGTGCAAAACATTTTCCTTTAATGTCATTCAAGAATGAATGYGCCCTTCTGTCAATTTTAAAAGCAGCTTTGCATAATTTGTAAGGTGGCAGTTGTCTCTCAGCTTCACTGGATCACATTCTGAGATAGGCACAGTGCAGAAAAATGAAAGCAGAGACTAAATCTTTTAGGGAACGCCTTTTATTTTCATCAAAACATGTCTATTTGTYAGTCCCATCAGCAATAATACATGTCCATGCTGTATTCGTTTCAGAATTTAATGTTAGAAAAAGGGGAAAGGCCACATGTTGATCACTCTGATTATTTCTCTTGTTTACATGCAAGATTAGATGTCACCTGGCAGTATATAGTCAGAAAYGGCTATTTCTCCTTTATTGTTGCATATGAATAAGCAGTTCAGACTCGCAGACATGGTGTGAGCAGATTAAAACATTCAGTGATTGGTTTACATATACTTGGAGTGACAGATTATGAGACATTTCTCACTTATTTTCATAAATTCATTTGAAGCTGAAAATAAAATGAAAGTGTAATTAGTGACGGTAACCATTTATTTTCAGACTTTCTTGTCGATGTTCACATGGTGTGAGATAGTTTTCCATCATTGCAGCAACACTGAAGTAAGGTCACTTTGACTTTCTGTGGTCCTCAGAACCCTTTGGTTTTATCTACTGCGCCCTACAGCCAAACTACAATTACAGAGGGTCACATTCAGGCGGTAAGCTCAACTATCAAACCTCTACCTCTTGAGACTGGGACAGCTGGGTGCAGAGTGACTCGCCAGCCGTGCACGTGGCTGTGAGATCCCGCAAATGTTGCTCTACACCTCACAGGTCTGTCGCCACATCAAATTTAAAAAATGGCAACCGTAGAAATTGGCTCAGTCTTCTCCTTTTTCAGACACTTTCTTGCTCTCAGCATCTGGTTTCCTGTCGACAGAGTTGGATTCTCCTCCTGTCGAAGAACGGTTGCGGTTCCTGGCCCCCGGCTGGTACAGCTGAATGGCAGGTCGGTCCTGATAAAAAAAAAATAATAATAATAAAATAAAAATAAACTGATTCACTCAGATGTAGGTTTAGTTAATAACCTGCAGGTCTGACATCCTGGAACACACACCTTATTCCGTAGGCGCTCTCTTTTGCTACTCTCCTCCTTTTTATTATCTTTGGCAGGTTTCTCCGTCTTCTCCGAGTGGGAGCTGGGCACGTTTTCACTCCTCCTCTTCTCCGAGGCTTTTTCCTTTTTAACCTCCTCTTCTCGCTTCTTGAAGGTGTTCTCTCCATCCTGCTGTTCCCTCCTCCTCCGCCTTTCCTCGTCCTGGCGTCTGGCACGCTCCCTGTCTCTCTGCCGCCGGTCCTTGTCCCTCTCTCGGTCTCGATCTGCGTCTCGTTCCCTGAACTCCTTCCGGCCTTTTTCCTCCCACCTGGGAGTAAAAATCACAATATCTGCTCGGTTACTTTGTTCAAAAAATGTAAAAATACGACAAAAAGAAACTGACTTCTTCTCTCGGTCCTCCTTGTTTTCAAAGTTCTGTCTCCTTTTTTGATCGCTGCCTCCCAACGATCTGTCCTCTTTTAGTGGCTTCTCTGGTTTCTTGGCCTTCTCCTTGGGCTTTTCAGACTCTGCATTATCAGATCTGTCTGGCTTCTTTAGGAGCTGAATGTTRGGACAAAATAATTAGTTATAAACTTGAAAATGTTTCAAGCTGGGGTTTTTTTTTTTTGCACTGCAACACAAACCTTAATTTTTGGTTCTTCCTTAACGTGGTCCTTGTCTTTCTCTGTGGGCTTCTCCAGTCTTTTCATCTTGTCTGCCTCTTTTCGTTTCYTCCTCTCCTCCTCTCTCCACTTGCGACGCTCTTCGTCACGCAGACGCTTGCGCTCAAGCTCCCTCCTCCTCCTCTCTTCTTTCCTTTCYTCCCTAATTCTCTGAACATTAGATAAGGAAGTGTAAGGTCAGTCTCTAACATGCAACAAACACACCTGGAATTTTACAGGGCAATTCCACATTCACCTGTTTATTTTTGAGGAAGTCCAGCAGAGGAGTTGTCTTCTTAGCTATAAAGAACAAAAAACATTCAACTGAAGGAATGTATGTCACTTATCTCTCTTTGAGTTTTCAGCTAAGATCATCCCACAATAAGAAGGGATGTGTTTGAGGCAACCTTATAAATTATAAATTGTGCTTTGCTGCCATGTTGTTAAGTTATCCCATTACATTCAAACAGTGATGGTTGTGGAAAACCAATGTAACAAACCTTCAAGTTCCTTTGACCTTGCCTCAAGCTCYTCTAACAGAGTTTCGGTTGTGGACGTCAACTTCTCTTCATCACCGTTGTAATAGTCAAGAAACTTCTTATAATCAGGATCTGAC